GATCTAAAAATACGTCTATATTTTCTACGCTAGTCCGTAATGCTGTATCACTAGAATCCTCTATATTTTCACTTTCATACTCTATTTTCGTATCTTCAAGCACTTTTTCACATTCTTCAACCAATTTAGACACAGAGTTGCTCTTCTTTTGATTTTGATCGAGAGAATCTTCCGTAGAATCTTCTGACAATAATGGTACTGGACTACCATGATCACTATCGACTCCACTATCCTCTCTGGCATCAGATACCAGTACCACTGGCCGAATAACTGGTAGCGTTATTACAAGTTTTTTATATTTTGAATCAAATTTAGCATTACCCTTGTCTGCATTTACACAGTAAGGTAAAGGTAATTCTAATAAATATTTTGCAGGTTTTTCACTTTTCAGACTGAGAAAACGTTCTTGTACATCCAAGGAAGCATCGGAGGCAGTTTTTAACAAGGGCAGATCTATGCTAATGATTAATTTCTTAGGTACTGTAGCATTCATTTTTGCATTTCTGTTATTACTAAAATCTTCCAACTCTATATCAGATTGATGTTTTATAGAAAATTTTGGTGTCACATATTTGCTATTTATATCCTCAGTTTTATCTACTTTTTTATTATAATACTTGGTAGGTGGTGAACAACGCTTTGGGACTTCTTCCGCACATTTGAATTGTTGTTTTCTGCTTTCATCATAACTAGCCATTAATTTTTGATAAATTTCTGGTTCTATGTCCAATTGTTTTTTAGGTGGTTCATTTGATGGCTTTCTGATCACAGTAGGATGGCATATTCCTTTGTAAGATATCTTTGGAAACTTAAGATTTTTCCTGTCTAATTTGACCTAGGAAGGAATTAAAACGTGGAATTAAAAAAAAAAAAAATTAAGAAGAATGAATAATCGAAAAAACGAATAAAATGGTTGACGATTCTTACCTTGAAATTATTTTCCACACCATCGAGGGCTGTATTGTGAACAATTTCGCGGAATTGCGCATTTTTGGATGACAGATACATGGTGTCAGGATGAAAAACGACATCGAAAACTTTACAACGTACATTCTTTTTGTCAAGGTCATCACGAGGTGGTGTCAACGTATAAGGAATAGACCATTGTAATCCACGATGACCTTGCTCGAAAGAAGGTTGACTGCTTGGTCGGTCAACAATGTTACTTTTGCTTATGTTTAGAAAACATTTTTTCTCTCCGTTTACACTAGTTTTTATGACGTAACAAGGCTCGGGATGAACAAATGTAACGTCGACGCCCCGTTCCTTCTCTAATTGTGTGATTTCCTTTTCGTATATCTTTCTATTTTCTGGATCAGTCACCTCTTCAGCGTATTCGATTAACAATTTACGAAACTCTTCCTTTTTCAGACACTCCGTTATATTCTTTAACTCTTCTTTGGTTACATCCAAATCTTCCCAATTTTTCCTATGTATATCGTACGCGTCCATCTTACGAAATACTGTTTACAAATAAACTTGTAGATAGGTAGAAAGATCGCGAACTCTTATACCACGTGGATAGTTGCGCCACTACGCCGGCCGGTTGAATAGCGGTCAAACATGGAACTTCGAGACGTCTAATGGCGTTCGCGCCATTTTTTCTATTTTATTTCTATTTTCCTAAATCCATTTCTCTTCAATTTTCATAAAATCGTTTCATCTTTCCTCCCCTCCCCTCTTTTTTTTGTTGAACAGAGAAATAATAATATGAACGTTTGGAAAGAAAGTCAACTTGTTCGCGATCTTGGATATTTTTAATTCTTAATTTTTTTTTCTTTTTATTTCGGTTCGAAGATTCGGTCGAAAATCGATTCGACGAGTATCGAATAGCAAAGAAATATCATCATCGTTTAATAAAAAATCGAGCTACCTTTCACTGCATCAGCTTCCCTACTATATGATTCCGTGGATGCGCTATTGTAAAATTGCAACGAGAAATAGAAATCGGAAGCGATAAATTTTCATTTTAAACTTTGAACGAAAATAATTGATTATTAAGTTAAGCCAGTTGGAATTTAATTTCGAAATTTTTATTGTTCATTAAAATGTGTAATTAATTGAGGATAGAAAAGTTTTCCTCTCCGCAATTTCCAACTGTTGGTGGGAGTTTAGATGAAGATGTGGGGATTAAGCGGTACGAAGTCTCTGACCCACTGACATTCTCTTTAGTTACTTGGTAGACACAAACGTTGATTTGTGACTTTCGAGACTTTCAATGTTCGTAATCAGGATTATTGGTAAAGTAATATTTAAGAAAAGAAGGTAGCCACCTTCTTTCCGGAAGGAACGAAAGGATCGATCGAATCTCATTTTGAGATGCGGTTTAATCGCGGTTTGGTAACTAGTGTCGCCGCTTGCCTGACAGTTTTCTTCGTCATTTTAAATTTAAAGTCGACGATAGAGACTGTAAACAATTCGGGAATCAGTATAAAAGAGCCTTACGTTGGGGAGCAATATATCAACAAGGATCAGGTAAATTACCTTCGATATTATAATAAATTTAAATACATTCGATTGAAAATTTAATACAGATAATATAGTTTTCAACTTGAAAATTTTCTTTTCGAATAATGCACCGATCTAGTTTAGGCTGTGCATTGCAGTGAAAGTGCATCGGTGAAAGAACGTAATAATTGTTGGAAAGTGATCTTTCTCCTTCACCGATTTATAAATATTACTTCTTACGAAATAAAGAAGAATCCAATTCGATTTCGAGATCGATATCACAGACGTGCGCTTTTCTCTCGTTTTTAACAAACGTATAAGCTGTTAAATTTATTTAAAATTAAAGTATCGTTGTATATATGATGAGCATTAATACGAGATTTACTTTGTAGAAGTATCGATATGTAACGCCTTCTCTCGCGGAATTAGGTGCTCGTGGAGCTTTGCCGAAAATGAATAAACATATTTTGATGTTGACTCGTACACCCGACGCCGGAGCCGAACTGTTTGTCCTGATGCTGCAACGTTTGCAGGGTTACAATGCGTTCAAGCACATACGATTACCACCCGGTGATCACGGCCTCCTATCAACTTTGCAAGAGGTAAAATTCAATAAAACACGGGGATGCTCCTCGTCAACTTATTTTTCTTCCTTTTTATCATTGTATACGAAATAATCGCGTTATAATTTTGATTGAAAAATTTGATCGTAAAGTGGCCGTTGCATTTTGCGCGCTCGGGGCCTGAGTCGGTTTTCAGTGTTGCAATCGAAGTTGTGCCACTTTCATCTTTCCAATTAAAGTAACCGGACGGGAAATATCTGGATTTGGAGCACGTCTAGGCGAATTCAGGAAGGATAGGACAAGTTGGCGCGAAATATTATGGGAGAAAGTTAATAAAAGATGTGAAAAGATTCGATGTGCATTTATATTTTATATCGCGATATTTTTCGACGCGAGGAGAGCTTGTAGGAGAAGACAAGTTTTCTTTTCGATTGTGAAATAATGATATCCTATTTTAACAGGAACTTCTGGTCGAAGAAATTACCAATATCATAAGGCAGGAAGCGATTCCTTTAAGCTTCGACGGAGATGTTAGATTCTTAAACTTTTCAAAGTTCGGACGAGAGTCTCCATCGTTTATTTCTTTAGTGAGGAATCCTGTAGGGGTACAGAATTTTCTGAGGTAAAAAAATCATTTCTCCCAGGATTTACATTTCGCTAGAAAATAATATTTGCGCGCATCATGCAGCGTTCGAAGCGCGATAACAGTATAAATTTAAGTGCGTGTCGAATATGCATTTATTTACCGGTTTTTAGATATCACGAGAGACGAAGAAATATGCTGGAAAGTAGAGCCATACCCATATTTTGTGGCCAAGATCCTCGATGCTCGTGAGTATTCGATTAATAATATTTTTTTTTCCTCTACCACATTTCGTCCTCTCGATCTTTCTCTGTGATCTTAATTATAGAGAAATAAATAATAAGTGGGCGTTGCAACGGGCTAAAGCGAATGTCGTTGAATGGTATCCTGTTGTCGGAATATTGGAGTACATGGAACAATCGATAGATATACTGGAATACAAATTTCCATATTCTTTCGAGGTGCTAAGCATAGTTACAAAAAAATTCGTAAGTAAACAGTAAGAAGCTGGCATAATTCTGTTATTACGCGATACTAAGGTGAGCGATATTAAGGTTTAAACTTGAATTTATCTTGATCCGTTTCATTCAGAATCAAAAAATGCACATTTTCCCGATCCCACACTTGTGTTAAATTCGCAAGAGGACTATAATATTTTGTCTAAACTCTTTGAGGATGAAATAGAGTTTTATCAGTGGTTAAAATTTCGACTTTTGAACGAAACGTCGAGGAAGAAACGGTGATGTGAGCCACGATCCGTCCAAGAAAGGAAATTTTCTTCACGTTTGTTTCGAACATGATATACCAAAGATAATTAATATATAAAAAAATTTTTTTTACAAAAAAGGAACACGGTGAACGAATTATCTCTCTTTTCTATTTTTTTTTTTTTTTTTTCATTCAAATCTTATGAAACTAAATCTTCTATTATTATTAGGATGTGATACAAAAAAAAAAAAAAAAAATTATTTTTCCACTGTCATAGCTATATAATTTATTCATTTTTTACATTCGTATTGTAAGTTTATTATAACAATAATATATAATTATTTATACATGTAGGTATTTCAAGTCAAAGATATAATATTCGTGTTTTCAATAATTATAAGATATCGATGTTTAAAGTATTTTTAATAATATAATAATAAAAATATAATTCTTATATTTAATTAGAAATATAAGAATTTGTGTCATCTTTTATTTTTTTTTCTTTTTTTTTTTTTTACATCAAATAGAAGACACAAAGGAGAAAATTAATTTTCCTCACGAATCATCAGTGTTCAATTTAAAACGATACTTTGAACATAGTAAACATCTTATAATCCGTTCAAGCTTAATATTGTAATCATTTAAATGTATATAGCAATCTTTTAATCGGCTTTTTATTATATTACCGAGGATGAAAGTTTTTTTTTTTTTTACTAAATATTTTAACGAACATTATTTGTATTTTAGAATAAATACGAAAATGTACAAAGAAACATTAGAAAACGTACAATGATTATTTCCTGTTTATCGGTTGTTTATATAATATTAGCGGGATATTGTATAACGAAGCTCTTATTATTTATTTACACTTTCTTCAAAAATGCAAGTTTTCAATATCACAACTATCGTACGATGAAATAAAGAAAAGAAACAAAAAAAAATGAATAATTACCAGCATTGATACGACAAAACTGATCAAATTACTTTGACGATATATTACTACAAGCAGCAAAAGGACGTATATTTTTTTTTTTATATAGCTTAATAGAACATATAAAAATATAATTTGTCCGAGTAAAATTCGAAATTGTTGTTATATATAAAAATGGCGCTATCGTTATCAACGATGGTGGTGTATATGATTTCAAATTGAACGAAAAATAAAATTAAGGGGTGTCGGAAAGTGATTTCGACCATTTTATACGCATATCGCGCGTGCAGCAAAACATGGCAATCATGTTGATGTACAAATGAACGAGCAGCAACATGAGCCAAACGTGCCATCACTTTTTCTTCGCATCCTTTAATCCAGCGCCAGCGTTAAACTTAAAGAAAATTATATCTCCATCCTCGACCACGTAATTGCGTCCTTGCTGTCTATATTTTCCGGCAGCCTGTTATAAAGAAGAAGGAACATTGAATGGGCATTGAAATGAATCCGACACGTTGTTATTTATTATCAACAAGGTATATATATATATATTCACCTTTACCGCGGCTTCCGATCCCTCGTTTTTAAAATCGTCAAATTTCATAACCTCAGCCATGATAAATCCTTTCTCAAAATCCGTGTGAATCTTTCCCGCGGCCTGTGGCGCTTTCGTACCTCTCTAAAAACGTTTGAGAACAAATGCTCGAGAAATATCAAACGAAGTAAAAGCTTCGTATCGATGATACCTGGATTGTCCACGCCTTGACTTCGTCGTGGCCCGCCGTGAAGAAGTATTGCAATTGCAGTGCCTTGTATCCTTGAACGATGATCTTGTCGAGGGCGCTGGAGAACGTAAAGTTAATAAAAATTTTTTTATAGCACGATAACAGAAGAGAGAAAGAAAAGGAAAAGAAGAGAAGAAAAGGAAATAGATTCTTGGTTCAAAGAAGGGGTGGCCGAAAAACAGGACCACGGAATATGATTGTCCCGAACCGAATATCGTCTAATGACAGGGTATAAGAAGGGAAGCCATCCTATTCTGCGAGCCGGACGAACTTCGAGACTTCAGAGAATACACATAAAGCTGAACGACTTAATACCGCAATTTTATCACTCTAACTCTGTCCGAGGGAGAAGACCTACTTCGGCGCCCCGGTCATCTGCGGTCTAGAAATAAAATCGCTGTATCTACAGATCTTCCGTTTGTCCCCTGTGATTACCTGTGTGTGTGTGTGTGAGAAGAGGAGAGACCTGTCGTATATACGATCACAATTTGGCCGAATTTGGAACCAAAAAAAAAAAGAGAAATTTACACTTTTTTTTCCAAACCATGGATTACACGAGTATCATTGATAGAGGAAACTCGATATATTTTATCAACGTTTCGTTTCATTTTCCCTTGTTACGTTTATCGTGTTTATTTTTTTCTTCCACGACGTTGAAAATTAACCGGGCATAAACTCGATCCAGTTTGTCATGTTACGCGCAACATACGCTTATCCGCCAATGACCCACTAGCCAACTGAACCGGTTGATCCTCATTCCACTCCCCGGTTGGTTGGTTGTACCGGTGTATAATGCCCGGCAGGGTAGGAGGGGTTTTTATGCAATTTTGCAAGAATTTGAATAGCCGTTCGTAAAAATATAATGCGCCACAAGCGAGGATGCGCCGCAGTTTTTTATTAGTAACCCTACGTGAAAGTAGGGCTCTGGTCTAGACGCTTGAAGCCCGAGCCCTCGCTTGTTATTACCGTTAGTAGATAACTCGGTGCATAACTAAATATGGGAACCCGACTTTTCAAGTTTTCGGGGGGAGTTCCAGGCGAAACGTTCAATTTCACGAACGAACGGTTCGTCCCTCCCCTTTCTTTCGAGTTTCATTTCGAAAAATCTAATTCACCTCGTAACCTTGTTCTCTTCTAAATATTTCCCGCGTTCCGCCTCGTTCATGTCGAGAAGCTTATTTTCAAACACGCCGCTGAACGGGATTAGAATAGCTCCCGGATCGTTTTTATCGACCCATTCCTTAATTTTGATTAACCTGAAATATATATATATCATTATAATCATCGTATCGTTGAAATTAACAGCGACGATAATGTATTAAACCGTTTTACCATTTATTCTTTTTACGCACGTAATCCTTTTCAGACAGGTTGATTAAATAAATGACCGGCTTCGACGTAAGGAATAGATACTTGTTCAAAACCTCGATCTGGAAAAAATGTGAAAATATTTGAATTGACGGATAATGTAGATATAAAAAAATACGGATCAACTTACATCGGTGGCGCTCCAATCGGCAAATCTGATATGCCTCTTTTCATCCACCATTACGCCTTTCACTTTCAACAACGTGTCCTGCACAGAGAGAAGGGTTAATATTTACACCGAATCTCGTTCAGGTTTAACGAGTACGCGTGTTTAAGCGGAATAATAATTCCACGATCACGATTTGAGAGGTGGCGGCTTCGAAAAGTTTTTAGCAAATTGCGAACGAGTCTGGAACGAGGGGAGAAATTGCCGTGGGTCAATCCACGGAAAGTGGGTAATTCGATTGATTCGTTCTAGGAAGTAGTGTACCAGCTCTCTTAATTTCGCTCGGTAATTTCGCTCAGGATATGGCCGCATTGATTTTCTGAACGGGTTGTTTCTTTAAACAACTCGTTTACAAGGTATTCACAATCGACAATTCACTCACGTATTCGGGCTTCAGCTTCTTGTCGTTCCCTCGAACCACAAGCTTCTCCAATTTCTCGAGATGGCCGTTCAAGAACTCGATGTCTTTCAACCGCAACTCCTCGCTGATGATCTCGAGATCCCTCACGGGATTCACGTCCCCCTCCACGTGGGTGACGTCGTCGTCGTCGAACGCTCCTGCGTGAGAAGATGAAAAGCAATCAACAACAAGCTTCGATGAGCCAGAACAAATATGGCTCGGACGTTTCGCTTACGGCAAAGATGAAAAATTCCGTCGCAAGCGTTGATGTGCGAGAGGAAACTGTTCCCCAATCCTTGGCCCTCCGCGGCGCCCTTGACCAACCCAGCGATGTCCACGACGTTCAAGAAAGCCGGCACTTTGCTGTAAATATATCGTGTAGTTGAAGGAATAATTGGGATTTTCATTTCGGGATTAACACGGGACGCTGAGCAACGTGCATGCACGCTTTTTGAATTGAGAACGGGGGTGGCGACAACGAGGCGTATTTAAATGCTAATGCGAGTGGCATCATTAAACAATTAGCCTTTGAAGACGGGCGTTGGTAGAATGGCCCAAGAATGGGGGAGGCGCCGTGGCTTTCATTAGGGATCGTTGAATCATCCCGACACGTGACAAGCAGAGTTGGACGTTGCAATGTCCTCTTTGATCGTTCCACGCCGTTTTCGCATTTTAATCTCCCCAAATTAGCGGAATTGTGAACGGACACGTGTCCCAGGGCAAACTATCTCCATCGCCACTCTCGATAAACCTACTTTTCAAACCTCTTTCGGGCCGATCGATTCTTTTACAGAGTCGCGTTTAACCAAGGATGAAGCTTCGACGATCTCGACGCTGCTTTGTATCTCGTTCAATCTCATCGTCGTGTCGACGAGCTTGAACGCGAGGCAAACACGGCTCTCGTCCACGCGCAGTAGGCGGGACATTCGTGTGTCGCGACAGGGCTTCCATTATCAGTTTTCAAAGCGGGACGAAATTTTAATTAATAAAGACAGGATCGAAGCAAAACATTCGATCTTTGAAACAAAATAATATTTGCAATCCATTCGGTGAATTTCTTGGTTAATTCAGAAATGATAAATTACGCATAAATTAACGCGCAAAACTTTTATATTTTGTGCAGCTTTAAATAGAAAATTTGTTGAATATTAAAGCTCTTTCACCATTCTTATTTTATTCAGATCACTTTTCTTCTTCTTCTTCTCTCTATCGTCAATTTCTTAAATGAAATAGAAATAATTTCGTTGTTACACACGTCTTCGTTTGAAGTATATTATTCTACGCTTCGTAAGATTAGAAATCTATTCGTAGAGCGACATTTTAAAAAGATCAAACGTAAATAAATATCGCCGTCATCGAGGTGAGAGTCATCGTCGGAGTGCAAAAGTATTTCGTAAATTTATACATCAGTTATATACATTTTCCCGCAGAGAAACATTATAATCTTACTTTTTCCTTTTCAGAATAGAAATACTACTGCTTCAAACTTACGTATAATTTATTATTACGAAGCGAGTTGTGCAAAGTCGATAGATATATTGGAACGTCGCATTAGGCTACGATGTGTCGCGAATTTTCTTGAATCTGCATTGCAGATCACGTACCGCTTTCACCCCGCCCCCACCTCGGGAAAATAAAAGTATGGAAATGTCAACGATTATTCCAACTGGTTTCCCCGCCGCGAGGGTGGATTTTGCGGGTGGATTCGTCGTCGATTCGACGATACATTCGACTCGGTATCGGATCGGGACCAACAATGTTTGCCCGCGTTTACATACATACCTGGCCGGCTTGAAATAGTCGCACAGGTAATCGAATCTTGAGTCGGGGACGGGTACGCGACGTGCTGAAAGATAAAACGTGTGGTCAAACGAATAAAATCGAAACACGGTGCGAAAAGAGCGAAATGAATCCGTTTACAAATTGAATCGTCTATTTACAATATCGTTTTATTACACTTGTTACAAGATTACAACGGAAACGAGACGTTCAAACTTAAATGTTAAAATATAAATCCTCGATATTTATGCTCGACTCGGAGCTCTCCTCCTCGTCCAAGTCGACCATAATTTGGGTGGGCGACGTTCGACAGAACGAGACGAAGTTCGAGTCGCGTTTAAAATCGCGAGAAATCACGGACAATTGGCTTATAGTGTAATGGCGATGCGTCCCCCTCTTATACTCGTTTATGTTCAGAAAAGGGTTAAGAACTTGCTTCATCATCCGGCTGGCCAGCTTCAGTATCCTCTCGTAAGCGTATATCCTTTCGTTCACCGCCCTGTACAGCTCCGTCTCCCTCGAGGCGGGCTTGTTCTTCGCCTTCAAGTACGTGCCGATAAAAATGGCGGCGGTGGTGGAGGGCGACATGCCTGGAAATTTCGGCCGACTCACGGCCACCTGGTTCACGGCGTCGATCACCAACAGGGCGACCGTCTGCTCGAGGAAGCCGAGATTCGGCAACGCCTTCGTGTCGATGGGCGCCAACGTCCGCGTAAAATTGATCACGGTGTCCGCGTATTTGGCCGGCTGCTCCATGAACTTATCGCGGCACTCTCTCGAGCAGAACAGATACACGTTGTCCCTGTACAAAATCCCCGTGTCCAGTCTTCCGCGCGCAATGATCCGGCGCGGCAGATTGTCCAGATACGTGACCGAGCACAGCCCTTTCACCCGCAGACGCTTGATCCAGCACGGGTGTTCCAGGTCGATGGCCTCGGTGAGAACGCGGGGACGATCCTCGGGTAGCTGCTTCGCGTTCACAGGCGGCAGATACTTGTCCGGTTCTTGGACGAACTCGTCCAAGTGGCCGGGGCAAATCCAGTACACGTGCTCCCTGAATTGGACCATCCCTCGGTGATCGAGCGTGTCGCTCCTTTTCAACGCGTCCTCGTGGTACAGGCAAAGGGGGCAGTACGACTCGTAGCTACTCTGCTTGCTCCTGAACTCGTACGGCGAGACGCTCATGTGCTCCAACCGGTGGACCTTGTCGTAATCGCTCTCGCGGAAATATTTTCTGATCCTCGCGTATCTCGAGCGCACGATCTCGTCGGCGCGGGTCCACACGTGCCACATGCACTTGCTCGCGTCCACCTCGATCACGTTCTGATTGAAACTTCTCAGCCAGCTTCGGTAATCGGCCTCGTCGATCCGCCAGATGTCGTACAGGTGGGTCAAGAAGTTTGCGGAGAATCTGGGCGGTTTCGTCACCTCGTCGCCGATGCCCGACAAACACTCCAACGAGAAGGCCAGGTCGGATCTCAGGTCGAGGACGAGGATCGGCTGGAGGCCGAGGTACACGAGTTGCTCGTACTCGTCGCGGCTGCTCGGGAAACCGTCGAGCACGAAGCCCTGGGAGACGATGCTCGGATCGATGGAGTACGTCTCGATCGCCCGGCACACGTGCTCCAACGGGACCATCCTCCCCGCGCGGAGGTGGGATTCCGCCGACTCGGCCGACTCCACCCAGGTGAAGTATTTTATGATGTAACGGAGAGCGGATCCCCGCGTGATCACTTTCATGTTGTACTTGTCGGCGAATCGTCGGGCGAGGGTCGTCTTGCCGCATTTAGGCGGCCCGATTATCGAGACGCGGAACTGAACGACGGGCGCGCAAGAGTCCTGCTCGAGATACTTGTACGGATCCTTGGCGAATTCCTCCTGGGCCTCCCTCCCGCCGAAGAAGTAAACGTATTGGCGGTGCACGGCCGGGTATATCTCCTCCCTGTTCTCCAACGGTAGGAACATTTGGAGGGGGATCTCGTCTCGGCGCAATTGAACAGGGCACCAACGGCCGAACGAGCTGAGAAAGTAGTAGCCGCGATCGAGGAGGGCTTCGGCCGTCTCCAAGTCCACCGCGGAGATTTGCTCGAGGGTGGAGGTGATTCGACGGGCGTAGGGCTCGAGGATGGCCACCGCCTGCAGGAAAACGTTGGTGGGGCTTTTCTCGGCGTCGATCACCACGTACGGTATCGACTCGTCGGCCAAACTTTCCCGCACCGCGTTCACCCTCCCGGCCTCGTTCTCGTACTTGCTCAGATATTCCTCCTCGATCCTTCTCTTCGCCGTGTCGAAGTCCTCCCAATCGGTGAACAGGACCGGTTCGGGATTCTCTTGATACCACATCTCCTCCAACTTGTATCTCCTCGTCTCCATCTCCTCCTCCTCCTCCTCCTCCTCTCCGTATTCCGCGTCGAGCGACAACATTCCTCGATCCAAGCGTCCCGATAATTCTCGTAATGCTTCAACTCCATCGCGTACCGCTCGCTCTCCACCTCCTTCTCCCTCTCCAAATTCCTCTCCCACGTGGCGAACAGGTTGGCCATCATCCTCTCGGACGCCGTCTCCCTGCCGCAACGAAGCTCCAACACTATCTCCGGCACCGTGTAACTCCTCAACGCGGCCTCCACGTCCTGGGCGCAGCTAGGGAACTGGTCGAACACGGCCCCGGTCCGATTGAACGGCTCGTTGAAGAAATCCAACACGCATTCCCGATACATCCTCGAAGGTAGGGAACCACCGTCCCTCCAATATCGGCGCACGAAGGTCTGGATGGTGGCCGGGTCGCTGTTGTATCTCTCGTCGTTCGGATCTTCCGGCAGATCGACCGGATCCAGAAGGCTGTCCCCCCTCGTCAGGATGATCGCGTCCTTGTCGGAGATGGGGGGCATAGCGCGCAGCTTCATGTACGCGGTGAGCCGATCGAAGTGATCCACGTGCACCAAACCGAATTGCCTGGACAACGCGTCCGCCAGCGTGCTCCTCCCGCTTCCGGTCGGGCCGATCACGCTTACGCGGAGGGGGGGGATGGTGGACAACGGCCTCCGCAACGGGAGATGCAACTTGTTGGGATCGCGCACGAACTCCTCGAGGGCATGCCTGCTCGAGCAGTGATATATCTTGTCCATGAAAATTGCCCCGAAATCTTCCTTCCCTTTCCAGAACACGTTGTGCCTCATCAACGCGACCGGGCAGTAATTGGCAGTGTCGCCGAAGCGAAGATTGGCGATTTGTTTCGCATCCGCGATCATCCCCCTCCCCGTCTCCTTTTCCTCCTCCTCCTCCTCCTCCTCCTCCTCCTCCTCCTCCTCCATATCCTCGGTGACGTCGGCCATCCCCGTGTACTCGGCCAGAAACTTTTCCCTCTTCTTCTCCTCCTCGGTCATGATCCTGGCACGGTCCGCGTAACGATCCTTGATCCGCTCGATCGCGTGGGCGAAGAGATCGCGGGCTGTCTCGCCAACGTTGCACGTGATCAACGTTAGACAACTGTCAGCCACCATCTCCTCGACCGTCCTCCAGTCGAAGTAAAATTGCTGAATGTGCCTTATGTACTCGAACAATCCTTCCGTGTACTCGTCCTCCTCCCCCTCCTCCTCCTCCTTCTTCCTTTGGAACGGGAGTCGAGCGTTCTGGCCAACCCGTCGTGGAAGATGTCGCGCCACTTGGACAGCAAGTGATCGTAGGGTTCCTCGTCGAGCAAGAGAACGGCATCCTCGAAGACGATGCCCGAGTCTAGTATCACGTTCCACGAATCGATGTTGGGATACATACCGTCCACCACGTAGCCACCGTCCCTCCACACGTCCCCGTCTATCCTCTCGCTCGGTATATCCCTCACGCGTTTCACGATCGCGTCCGGCTCGTTCCTCGACGGATAAAACTCCGAATCGTCGTCCACCGATCTCCTCCTCGCCTCTTTCACGTTTATCACCGTCCCGTTCAACTCGCGCGCCAATTCGCGGCAAAGCTCGGATTTGCCGGAATAGTTGGGCCCGAACACGACCACCTTGCACGTGGGCCGTGGCCTGAACGGGTGGAGAAAGGTGCGGGGATTCTGGACGAACAGATCGACCGCCTCGTTCGACGAGAGGAAGAATATCTTGTTCATGAAATGGACGCTGTGCCTCGCGTTTCCGTTCACCGTCCTACCCCTGGCCAACTCGACCGGGCAGAGGAAGTTCCAGGCGGAGAGCCTCCAGGGGAACAAGGGGGACACGGTCTCCCTGTTCGCCAAGTCTCGATACGCTTCCTCGTTCGACTTCTCCTCGAACTCGTCCTCCAACGGCGACTCCTCCTCCAGGTTGGCGTGGGTGACGAGCCTCGTGGGTAGGACGACGCGTCGCATGGCCAACGTGCGTAGACGGGCGCTAAGAGTGAGGAACATGAAGGCGAGGGGAGAGCGGCCGTTCAACCGGATCACGTTTTGCGGGTTGTACAACAGGATACGCTTGTCGATCACGGGCTTCACCAAACGTTTGTACAACTCGCACTGCGCCCTCACGTTCGACGACTCGTCCGAGATCCGTTTCAACAGATACTTTTCCTGAGTCTCGTCCAATATCTGCTCCTCCTCCATCAACTCCCGATACAGCTCGTAGTTCGCGTAATGCCTGATCTTCTCCTGGCTGAACAGCGTCTCGATCTTCTCGGCCGTGTCCATGAAAGTCGTGTCTATGATGCGGCCGATCAACGGGTTCAGGCGGAAGTGGTTCCGCTTCTTCACGTGGTCCGCGTCCGGGCACATCAGGTAAATGATCAACGTGGGTTTCAACGGCCACTTCGTGAATATGTCCTCGATCTGGCTCGAGACGAACTTCTCGTAATTAAACTCGATCGCGCACCCTTCCTTGCCTTCGTTCCTTCCTCGCTCCTTCCTCGAATCGTGCCGTTTACACGTCGTCGTATCTTGGCCACCATCCCATTCGCCGTTCACCCTTTTCACGCCGTTGTCACACGTCATCTCGATCGACGGATTGAAACATCTCATCACGTCCCGATAGGCGATCCCTATGGCCGACTCGTCCATGGGAAGGTAGGAGGAGTAATCGAGCTTTTTGTTGGGCATCAACGGAAATCCCTCCACGATGTAACCCCTGTGGAACACGTCCCGTTTGTTGAGACGGTTCAGTATCAGGTTCATCACTATATCTGGGCCCAGGTGGCCACCCAGTTTCAAAATATTCCCTATCAATCTACCTTTCTCGCTACCCTCCTCCATCTCGAGTTTGATCAGGTAGACGGGGCAAATCAGGATGCATTTCCACGCGGTGGCGATCATGTTCGCGAGTTTTATAGTGTTGAGATCGGGTTTGCCAAGTATGACGAAACAGGTTGGCACGCTTTCCAGGTATTTCTCTCTCGTCTTCGTGTCCAGGTAGGGGTCGCGATCCGCGTACGGCTCCTCGGAAGGGCCGAAGTGCGGTGGTTCCACGCTTTCCTGGCCCGACAAACCCGACTCGGAGAATCTGGTGAACGGATTCGTGTCCTCGTGGAAAGCGTAGTAACTGTTCGCTTTCGGATACACGCGTGGGTTAGGCTTGGGCCAGGCGGGGGCGTACCTCTCCCTAGGATGACCCTTGATGTGTTTGAAGTAACTTTTCTTTATGATAAAGGACGCGTCCGTGTCGAACTCGTCCACCTCCCTTTTTTTCTTGGGCAAAGGACGTGCACGTTTGTCGCACATAGTCGGTCGCGTTTCATTTCGAGGTTAAAGGAAAATTCTTTCGAGCAAAGTTGTTCGAAGCCGTCGATGACAAACGACGCGCGATATCGAGATAATTTTCACGATAATTATTACCATCGTAAACAGAATATACGTATAAGTGGGTATAATAATAAAACTGGATACTTATTCTCATTGGGATCGATGGTGCAGAAGGGGAAATTCTCGGCGGCCGCTTGACTCTTGGTCAAAACGTTGAAGAAGGTCGATTTCCCCACGTTAGGTATGCCCACTATGCCAACTTTCAAATTGGTGCCCACACGGCCGATCAGCGGTTTCCGTTCCGGTTCCTCGATCTTCTTCGGCGCCATTCTAAGAAAAGAAGAAAAACAGAAAGGAAGAGAGAAGAAAGAGAGAGAATAGAGCAAATCCATCGTCGCCGTCTCTCCATTTTCCTCCCCCAATTCGGGACGGCCAAACGAACGTCGATATGTAACATTCGTCTTCTTATATCGTACAACGCGTAACGAACTTCGAGAGAGAGAGAGAGAGAGAGAAGGAAGAAAGAAGGACGTATCGATATTTGCATATACGCGCGGGTATAGAAACGAAAATGACTCGGCTCGACGCCACGCCCTTCGTCGCTCCAACCCTTGGAATCTTTAACGTTTGCCCCCGGCCTTCGCGATGCTTCGAATCGAGGCGAGGAAGAGGGCGAGAGTTGGAGTGGACTCGAGTCGGCTTCTCAAACATCGAGTCGCTTTCGACCGCTCGGGGTGACTAATTATATTAATGCGGACGGCACATCAAGCGATTGCTGTGTTTACCGCGAGATTGCCCTCCCCGCCCCCCACCCTCCCCCTTCCTTCTCCTCTCTCTCGGATTGTATCCCGGTTGTACGACGGGCCGCGCCATATCAAAAGGATTGGAACAGGTACGAGACGCCTACGGGAGGTAAAGGGGATGCGAAAGTGCCGGGGAGAAGAGGAGGAAGAAGAAGAGGCGAATTCGAGAGGGGAGGGGAAGGTGGATACACTCTCCCCGGCGAGTAAAGATGCGAGGGAGGAGGAATACGTCGGGTAAAAGGGGACCCGACGATTACTGGGCACCAAAGCCGCGAATCACCGGCATCACGCCGGGAATCTGCAACCGCGCCTTAGGCCGCCAATCCGCCACCGACTTTGCGCGATTCCTCTCGTCCTTTTGCTTCCCTCTCTCTCGCCCTCCCTCTGTCGCCTTCTTTTCGCCTCACGATCATCGACCATTCGAACGGCCTTCCTTTTCCCCCCGTCTGTGAAACTGTGCGTCCTGTCTCTGTCGTGGAACGCGGTTTAACCGCGCCACCTCCCCGAGAAATTCGCAAATTATACGATAATGGGAGAGAGAGAAAGAGAGAGAGAGAGAAAGAGAGAAGAGACGAAAGGAGACGACGACGGATTTTATTTTTTTTCTTGTCTCGCGAGATACGCGGGCTCGATCTATGACCGCGCTCTTTTCATCGACATTTACATTTTTTTCTTTTTCTTCTACATATTCGATACGATGGAAATTATTGTCACGCTCGTTTTTTAAATCGGCGAGCGTAAATTTTGAAATTTGAAATTTAAAAGAGCCGCCAATTCCGCGGTACCGCATTGGACGTATTGGGGGAGCTCGAGGCTCGAGATAAAACATTGCACGGTGCTGCCTCGTAACACTAGCCTCTCGAACCAGCCACGAGATGCACACTTCCAGAACTTAACCTTACTTTGGCTGGGAGAACGAGTTATTTATAGATTGCTAACTTTAACAATTTTCGAGTGCACGTTTTTCAAGATTCTCACCACACACTTGAACCATTTTCCCATAAGGGGGAATCGTATGAACGTTTCTATCAGCGTGACGAGCATTGCATCATTTTTTTACATGCGCGTTACGTTACCTGTCTCCGTACGAAAATTATATGGGAAATTTCTTAAAGTATAGCACTATTTTCACGCACGATTCGTGCAATTGGACGATCGAGTGTCGATTAAATACCTTGTATATCCTTTCTTATTGTTTCTAAGTAAATATCACCGTACAACGCGTGGCAAGGAAAGGAACACAGCACTACACTGACGTCACACGTTCGACCGGCCTTCAGTCGTGAAATAGGGAACTGTATTACCAGCCGAGAGTTTCTTCGATCGAATAGAAAAAGGAGTGTATGTGTGTATGTGTGAGAGAAAGAGAGAGAGAGAGAGAGAGAGAAACAAGAAGCGGGCTAGATTGATTGAAAATAAAAAAAAAAGAAAAAAACGAACGATCGAGTATTCTTATTTATTCGAATTGCCTCGAATAACAACAATATGGTCAATTTTATCGTTCAATTTTTCGTATTGGCCCATTTTGATGCCTCAGTTTAGCCTCGCTTTATAATTTTTGCGAAACGATTCCCTAGTTGATTTCAATGATTTGATCTGCTCTAAGTATCTATAATTCGGAGACCAGTTCATTGTAATTCTAGGAATAGAATTTATGAAATGAAGCGCTACCTTTAATCTCTTGGAAGAAAAAGGGGTCATCAGAGAGAGAGAGAGAGAGAGAGAGAGAGAGAGAGAGAGAGAGAGAGTAGTAGTAGTTAGTTA